AGTTAGTCCAACAGCCAAGAGAGTGCCTGACTCCACCAAAGGTTCTAGGCACTGTTGGCTTAAAAATGGCATTTAAAGGCCTGTTTTTTGGAATTGGCTTGTAGGTATAGATATATGCATTATAAGGGTTCAAGATGGGCAGCAGGCATTAAATGGATTTCTAAGAGCTTGGGAGATACACACACAGCTTCTTATGGCCCTGAGAGCAGACAGGCTGCCTAGCATGAGGCCAACAGGCGGACACAGCCTGGGAACCAAAGAAGTATGTACCATACTGTCCCATAACACAAGATAAGTGACACCAGCAACAAGGTCTCAGAGCAGCAGGAGGGCTGAGTCCCAGTTTTTGGGGGAACAGACCAAATTAGAAGGCCTGGAAGGCTATCTGGACACGTGACCACAGAGAGACAACCAACCAGAGACAGCCACAGATGAAGAGTCATCAGGCATCATCATGAGGGAAGGAGAATACAAAAGCAGAAACTTGAGACTAACTAAGGGTCCCTCCCTGTTCCTTCTCGTCCCTCCCTTTGCCCTGTCCCTCCTCCTCCCTGAGAGGGGTCCCTGCCCCCTTCTCCCGGGAAGGGTCCCTGAGGCTGCCATAGACAGAGGGCACACACCAGCAGCCCATCTCATGCACCCCACTGGGGGGGGGGGGCAGCTGGGGGCCTCAGCATCCCTCCTCTAGACTACTGACACCTAAGAGAGAGAGCCTCAGAATGGAGCTTGCATCCTGACCCGATGTACTTTGACTGTGATGACAGCTGTAGGACTGGTAGATATAGAATCACTTGATTGTTTGTATTGTTGCTTTTCTGTTATCACTCAGTATCAATAAATTCGCCTATTATCAACTGGCAGGCATGGTCGGTTTGAGGGCTGTGCTCTCCCAGAACAAAGGTTTAGGTGCTGAGGCCAAATTCAGTGTCAAGAGGAACCAGCAAGTGGGCAGACCCTGCTGCCTGTCACGTTTAACGCATGCACACTCACCCTTACAACACTTTGTTATACCCAATCTTGCAAATTAAGTGAAAGGGAAGAGCAAGCCCAGATTCATATGAAGCTAAACACTAGCTGGCTGGGAAAGCTATCTCCCTCACTTGCTAATTTAAAAAAGGAAGCTGTTTCTTCTGCTGTTTCTTTCTAATGAGAAGGCACAGAAGGTCTGCCCAGCTTGCAGTCTTGATTGGACTTATTCCCCTGTACGGGTAGCAGGTGCCTGACTTCCTTTTCTCTTCCTGAGGCCCTGTGTGAACTTCCATCTCAACAAAGAAGGCAGGATCCTTTTTGCTCCAGCCTCTGAACAACACAGATACTTCCCCTCCTTTGTTCCAAGCCCTTACTACAAAAGCCAGTCACAGGCTGTGCAAGAATGAAAGGCCAGGGAAATGTCCTCTGACAGACCACAGGATACTGATTCTCTCTGACTCAGGTGAGATATTTTCCTGTCACTTCTCTTTCCAATTCCTGAGAGGCAATTTGGAGTAATGGATCCTGGGCAGTCAATCCCAGAAAACTGCTTTTACTCCTGGTAAGGGATACTTTTGATGCCCATTTCCACAAGCAAGTTCTCTGATGTAAGTCGTCTTTAGGCACTTTCAATTGATCACATTAAACAGACACACCGGTCTGACAAACTAGTCTGAATCACTGAGGCATGATGGCATTATCCAGTGGTCAGAATGAGACCAAAAGTCTGGGCTCCCACATTCTAGTCCTGTTCTGCATGGTGTCACTTTGGGCAAGCTTCTCTCTGCCTAGGAGGGAGGTTGTGGAATCCCCATCCTTGGAAGTTTTTAAGAACAGGTTAGACCAGGGGTGCTCAACCTCCAGCCCATGGGCCAAATATAGCCTGCAAAGCCATAGGTATCTGGCCCATAGGCTCCCCACGGATTAGGAAAGCTGGAGGCAGGGGACTGATAGCAACAAATATGGCCACCCTGCTGCCAAATTCCCAAACCCAAAGCCCTGCGCCACCTCCCCTCACACCCGCAGCTAGATGAGGCCAAACCATGCCCCCTTTCCCCTGTGGGGGTCAGGTTGGGGTCTGCTCAAGCCACCTTCACCCCCCTCACAGGGCTGGGTCAAGCTCCCCTTCCCCCAAGGGGGCTGTGTTGGAGCTGGGCTTCCTCTTCCTCTGCAGAGCTGGGTCATGCCCTTTCCCCACCTCAGGGCCAGGATGGAGCTGAGCCATACCCCCTTTCTCCCACAGGATTGGGATGCGGCCAGGCCAGACACCTTTCCCCTGCAAGGTAGAGCCACACTGCCTCCCTCCCCTATCCCTGCCCCACTACAGGGCTGGGCCATACTACTTCTCCCCAGCCCCCTGGCCAGGTTGGAGCTGGGATACCCCACCCCCCTCTGCATGCTTAGATGTGACCCTGCCATGACTGCCACATGCCGGGTCGGGACCATCAGCCAGATTTGGCCCATGGAGAGCCTAGGCACTGCTCATCCAGCCCATCAGCCAAAAACGTTGAGCACCACTTGCCTAAGTTGCTTTAGATGGGAATGATTTTGCCTTAAGCAGAGGGCTGGACTAGATGACCTTCTGAGGTCCTTTCCAGCCCTACTTCTATATAATTCTGTAAAATCACTGTGTCTCCATTACCTTGTCTAAAAAAACCCACATGTGTTAACAACACTAACCTACATAAAGGAGTAATGTGCTCTCTGGTTGAGCTGACTTCATTACCCATTTGCAAAACACTCTGACATCACTGGCTAAAGGAATTCTAAGCACAATATTACTATATGTTAGATGTTGCCAAACTGTTGTCCAAACTAGTATAAGGAAAATGTAATCAAGAGGTAGACACCTTTTCTTATTTCTTGTTTTGGCTCATCACTTTTGCCCCTTTCTGGGCTTAATGGATATCTAATTAGTACCCTACCAGGTACTATGAAGAACAAGAGATGATCCAGCCAGAAAATGGAATCTCTCAATTTAGTGATCAAAGATGTTACCTGTGGAGAGCATTCTTTTCCCTACTTATAGGAGCTTTTATAGCACTCATCCATGCAGTGTCTGGGCAACTTCCAGTGATACATTAAGAGACAAATCTCATATCTATCAGATGAGGAAGCGACCCATCTGATGTCTGTCACAGGCAGATCCTGCCATTCCTTATCCTTTCCTCAGAGAGGATTGTGTAGGCAGTGATGTATTAGCTTTGGCAGGGTTTTAAGCTTTTTATTTTTTTAAATGCACATGTTGCTCTGCCCTTGCATTAGAGAAGGCAGGTGGAACAGCACCTGGCACTCGGTGGGGAAGGTAGAGAGGTTTGCAGTGGTACAGAACAAGTTCTGACTACAGCCTGGGGCTAGCTGCTGAGGAAGCTCTGTGCAAGGGGAGATGTTTGACCTCATGGTAGGTAGGAATCTCTATTGTTCCTGAGGGGCATAGTTAATCAACTACCACACCTCACCCCAGGAGTTTTAATCCACCAGGCTACCTTGCAGATTCAAGACAGGAACCAGGACCTTGAATTTGACCTGACAGTCTACAAGCATCCAGCTTTTAGAGCAGAAAACAGGAGTACTGGGTTTATGGTACTCCACATTGCTGAAGAAACATACCATAGTATTTTCTACTAGCTGGAGTTCCCTGAGGGCTGATGGCTTCACTTACTTCATGGGTGAATATCTCTTGCACATAAGCAACCCATATTCTGTGTCTGACTTCCCTTGTAGTGGTCAGATGGCTTTCTGCCCATCGAAGGCTGTTTGTTCAGCCATGCCACAACAGGGCTGCTTGCATTAATGAATGCCATTTGGTGAATTAGGAGATCCTAAGGGCTAACAGAGTACAGCAAACTGCTCTCAGCTCCACCCTGTTCCTCACCTTCAGCCCTCCACTGAAATGACGTTGTTCACCTGGGCCTTCTTTCATGGTTTCCTCTGCATTCCAAGGGCCTCCCTATAGATATGAGGCTTGATAGGAAGACTCAGGCCTCGAGATCTCTGCTGTCATGACAGAAGTCATTATGGACAAACACTGAAATCAAGAACGCTGCTATATGAGTCCTAGTTGTAAACTCAGGAAAGCTGAGAGAATGGAGCAATTTATGAGCTCCTATCTGCGTATAAATATCTGGGGAATCAGCAGTAGCAGAAGAAAAATGCAGAACACAGACCATAAAAATTAAACCAACATTTGGAAAAGTATTCCACTGGGTAATCTGCAGAAAAGGAACCCAACAAGGGGGATTTTATTGTTTAGAAGTTCCAGTGTACTTGGAAGAAAAGCTTTGTCATCTCAATTTTATCCAGCTGTGGCCCCAGTGCAACCCCACTGGCATTTGAAATGTTAAGAGTACTCAGATACACTGGCCACGAGCATTTTTACCACTATGGTTAGATGACACTGTTTATGCTGGGTTCCTACAGTTGCTAGCACCAGTGGAACTTGCACTAGGATTAGTGCAGTGGAAAGAGAATGAGACCAAAAACACATTGTAGACAAAGATCCAGGCATGCTGTTATATCAGAGGTTTGTAGTGTCTGAGTTCTCCTTTGCTACCCCAACCTAGGATTCTCCCTAGTATCTTGGTCTAAATGCAGAAACATGTGTTGAGCGGTGGATTTAGTTCACAAAGAAAGGGACCAACACTTCCATTTCATTGTGCAAAGGGAAAGGGCTTGCTCTGGACCATGTGAGTTGTTGCCGATCCACAACCAAAAGGCTCCATGTCCTATGACCAAATCACCAACCTATTCTAAGCTTCTCATCTATTTTTTAACCTCCATGCATTTTTACTACCACTGTGACAAAATAAGGGGAGATTTTGTATTCAAGCTGAAAGTCAGGCTCAAAAATTGCCAGAGTGAAAACTTAAAGCTCACAGTCACCTTTAATAAGTGTGAAAAACCCTTGTTGACTGGTTTCTAACAGCAGTGTCTTTGAAGGATTTCTGTTCAGATTGTAAAAACCTCCCCAAGACAGGATTGTGCAATTGATCCAAAGAAATTCAGATCTACCAACATTAACAAAAACTCACCAGTAGAGGGCACTGTGCACCCTTTCTGGCAGTCGGAGGCAGAGTGGTTCTTGTACTGCTTCTGCTCTGGCATGTCTTCTCTGTACAATTTTGAATCCAGGAGAGGAACCCTGCTTAAGACAGGTGACTGAGGGATGCTAGGAAGTGTCCGTGACTTCCCTAGGAGAGGCCGTTGCAGTTTTCTATCCAGTGATCTTTAGAAGAAAAAAAGGAAAGAAAAATTACTTTAGCAGGTAAATGGAGCCTGCAAGCAGGGTAATTCTTCTGTAGGACACTTCAGTGCAAAACGTTATTGCCACTGGACTAAATCATAAAATGTGCTTGTTCCCAGGATACAGCTCCACCACTCATTTGCAAAGTGCTTTCCCCATTCTTTCCTCATCAACATGTTTTAATTAAGAGATGCAACTTGAGATGCAAATCATAAGTTTTTTAAAAGAAGATAGTGCACTATACATCCTACTGGACACCAGCCACACATCCACTAGTTTAAGGATCACCAAAATTAACCCAATGCACAGATCACAGAGTTTAGGATGAGATCTGTGAATTGGTCTGAAAAGAATATGAACCTATCCAAAACCAACATACCAAATCTCAGACAAAACCAAATCATTTTTTGGAGTCTCAAAAACATCTGAAGATATGAAGGGGAAGGTAGGGCTTGTTTTAATTATTTTCTTCCTTCTCTCTGCCTTCCCTTATTCCATCCTGAACATCCAGCATGAAGCAATGAGATTCTCTTCTTTAGGTGTTCCTGACCCAACTGATATCCAAAAACCCTGAAAGGCCCGACCTGCCGAATCCCACTATCCAAAAAATAAAAACTGGGCTGAATGACAGATCGGCATCCAGATGTTTATGAGCACAAGCCAGCAAGAACCCGAGTAACTGAGTCCAGTTCACTGCTACTGCTGGCAACCTTGTTATACGATTCCATCCTTCAGTTTATTCATTAGTCAGTTTTTAGGCATGCACACACGTGCGCACGCGCGCACGCACACACACACTCCTGAGGAAGCTCTTCCAGAACTTCCCGCTTCTGATAGTTAGATACCTTCTCCTTATTTCTGGTCTAAATCTGTTCTTGACCAGGTTATATCAAATTGTTGTTGCACTAATACTGTCCTTTATTTTAAATAGCTCTTATTTCCCCGCCCAGTGGCTTGCCCTCCTGATCACACCTTCCTTCTCCCCACTGTGTATTTATAGAAAACAATCATATCCTTTTTCAACTTTCCTTTTGTGAGGCTAAATAAGACCAGATCTTTCAGTCTCTGTTCCATGCCCCTGAGTATTTCAGCAGCCATCTCTGCACCTGTGCCAGTCTAACTTTATCTTTTTCAAACAAGAGAAACCAAAATTATATGCTGTATTCCAAGTGAGAGCTCATCACTGCCTCACACAATGGCATTAATACTTCTATTAGAAATACTGCACCTGTCACATCCTATGATGCATTTACCTTTCCCACAGCCACAGCAGATTGGTGGCTCCCAGTCATCATGCAACTGAACAGTTTTCTTCCTCTTCAGTTGTTTCCCACTGATGAACTCCCAGCTTACAGCAGAAATTTATTTTCATTGGCCCTTAAGTGCATAACCTTGCACTCTGTCCTATTAAATGTCAACCCATTTCTATTACTCCAGTCCTCAAGTTTGAAACAAGGTCGGACAATTTAGATTCTTATTCACACCAAAGTCCCAGACATTCTGAGTCTCACCCATCACTACTATATTTATTATGATTGCTGCTTTCTTTTTTACAAAGGCAATGGCATCCGTTGATTTGTGTTGGCATGAGATATAATTTATGGACAAGCAGTAACGCCAAGGCCAGAAGATAGCTGCAAAGCCCTGCACTAAATTCTGCAGAATATTAACTTATCAGATACTGGGAACAGAGCAGCAGACATTTGTGACATTTGGGTACAACAGACCTGATGTAAAGCTCAATCAAATCAATGGGGGTCTTTCCATTGACTACAATGGGTTTGAAACAGGCCCTATTGTACTAGCCTTTTATAGGAGTGGCTGTGCAAATTTGGCTTGATTTGATCTGCCCTATGTTCCCAAGGGTGACTTGCCTGTTCACAAAACTGCCAACTGGCTGCTGTCTGCAATAGAGATGATACTAGCTGTGACACTAGTACAGGTGCAAGTAGTAACTGAGGTGCAAAGACTATGATGTATGGGGACCTGACACAGCAGGAGTCTGCCTGTTCTTAACAGTGTCCTCAGCCCTTCAGTGACATCAATGCTTCAACTTAATACCTTAACACAATAAATAAATAAATGCCCAGAATTAACATCCTGAATATAAAAACCACAACACCTGCCTGGCACTAGACCAAAACAAATACCACAAGACTTACTGTTTTGCAAAATCTAAGGAATGCTGGTCTCCATTTTAGATTGTAAAGCATTTGATATTTTACCAGATTTCTGTCTCTGCTCTTTTAAATGCACCTGTTTGCGGCTAGTGGTTCAGCTGTGTGGCAACATTAGCTTTTTTTAATACTTCCAGGTAGGCTGCACCTATATTGCCGCTGTGAAACAAATCTCACAGGGGTAGGAAGGACAAAATTCACACCCTTGGAGGAGCAATTTTTAAATCTGCCTGACTGCAGGCAACGATTTATACAGAATCGAACAAAAACAAAGGCTTGCGGGGGTTGTTTTCTTTTTATTTAATCTTTTTGTTTTGAATCTGGACAATAAAACTACATTCCCATGAAAACTCCAGCTTTATGGATTTACCATCCCCCCATATTGTTCTACAAGCCTTACTAATAAGTGTCAATTAAGAACTGTTTGGCAATAGGAAATCACAGCTAAGGAGATCATGTTACATCTGTGCATGCATCTCACAGTAAGACAGGCTACAATGCTGTGGGTTATAACTTATCAGGGTTGCCACATCCCATTAATACAAACCCCTGATGGCAGTGCAAAGTACAATTAGAGGAGCCACAATCAGCTACATTACAGCCTATAAATAGCTGATGTTTGGCTATTTGATAGTGGATAGAGGATATAATCAAGATTTGACAAGGGCAAAAAAATCCTTCTACCTGAGAGTAGAGACTTAGCCAGGAGCTCAGTGACAACAACACTGATTTCAGCACATAGCTTCTGAGTTCCCAGCGACTCTACTACTTGCAGGGTGTGAGAGACTAAAGGAACAGCCACAAGGTACAAAAGGGAGTCAAAATGGATGAAGTCTTTGGTGGGAGCTCAGGCGAAATGGGGGAGGAGGAAGGAATGCACAGCCTGCCCCCCATTTCTCCCAGGAGAGTGCTCCTGCTGAGGTTCAGCAAAACCCTCCCCACTTTATGATCCCAATTCCATGGTCTTCCCTTGATGATGGAAAGTTTAGAACAGCAACTGACATTTGTGAAGGCTAGTTGTGTGCAAAAAGACCCCTGGAGCCTGGGGCCTTTCCAAATACAGCCTCACAGAGATTTTGTAGCTTTTAGTATGGCTAAAATGTTAATGAAAATCTCAAATAAATCACTGCACTTTTTGCAGCTTCCCTCACGGTCCAAGCCTCCCTAGCGTGCAATTTTTCCAGAGAAGACACAATTCCACTGCTGTAAAGCAGAGAAGTCAAGGGAGGATCAGAAAGTGGGAAGGGCAAAACCTAGTAAAATGCAGAAAAGGAGAAAAGGATAATATATGTTCAAAACAGATTGGGCTACATCCTGCTTGATGCTAAGCCGGGGTGGGCAAAATGCGGCCCGGGGGCTGGATGCAGCACGCCAGGCCATTCTACCTGGCCCGCAGGGCCCCTAAAAAATTTAGAAAATTAATATTAATCTGCCCTGGACTGCCTATCATGTGGCCCTTGATGGCTTGCCAAAACTCAGTAAGCAGCCCTCTGCCCAAAATAATTGCCCACCCCTGTGCTAAACTGAGCTGAGCTGCATCTCCCAGTGATTTCAATGGAGGTTCACTCAGCACAGAGCAAGATTAGCCCCCAGCCTGCTTCCCTGAAAAAAGACTTCCTGCTAAATCAAGATCCCAATTTCAGTCTAATTTTCAAAAAAGCTACTAGATAAAGTTAGAGAGAGAAAAAGCAAAACCTCACAGTTGCCCTGGGAAAAATCAATGCACTTGCTGCAGAAATACAGCAGGCAGCAAAAAAAAAAAACCCAGCTAGTTACACAATACACTAGGGGCCCCAATAAACCTCCCATTGATTGCAGCTATTTCCCAGAGTTCTCTCCAAACCCAAGCACTTTGTACTTCAACATCTTCACCTCCCTACCCCCACTCGCCTCCCAGAAATAAAGGTCAAAAGAGATGAAACTTTAAAAAAGATGTGTTTGTTTGGGAAAGGGAGGTCAATCATTTCCCCTCTGACTCTGCTTCTCTTTTGCGTTAAAAATCCAAGGACAAACCATGCTTATTCAGTTTACGTCTTTTCTTCCTATTCACAAGTCGCTCCCAGCATTGTCAGTCAGAGAATGGAGATACACCAGATTCAAACCAGAGAAAGATTAGAATTAGGTCTCTTATCTAGTAATGCAAAAGAAGCCTCTAAAAATAGAACATCCTCAGCCTTACCTCTTTTCCCAAATCTCAGCTCACCCACTCTAGTTCTTATTTATTCACCCAGCTTGGGGCAGTATCCCTAGGGTGACAGGGGATTGTCACACTCAGAGGTAGTAGTAGGCAACAGTTGATCCTTCTGGCTCATCGTGTATGCATGAGAGGTCACCAGGACCTTAGATATGCATGCTTAGGCAGAAATATGGAGGAGTGGAGTCGGCCCAGACCTTCCATCCCCCTTTAAGACCATTGAGACAGCATTCAAAGGCCAGACCAAGTCCAAATGTTTGGTGCCTCAATGGTTACAGTTATATGTGCATCCAGAAGACTGAGATAAACCACTCTGCCCTGATCAGGAAAGACAACCAAAGGGTGAAGTGAAAGGACTCTGAGCAATGACTGCTGTCTGTCCCAGCCTGAGCAGGTTCTTAGAGCGGCACCTGCCCCTGTGACATACTTACCTGGCAGAGGATACACCATGTATCTGGGTCCATGAAGGCAGTTTTCCTTAAGAGCCGGGAGGGAAACTGTTCTTCTGGTGTGGTTTAGTACCTGCCGAGGTGTTGGGGCTTAAAGCCCACTTTATAGAAATGGGAGGCTCCTCCTTAGCTTGCTCCTGCGGTTAGATGGCTGAGGGCAGA